AATTCACGAATTTTTAGTTTTTTTACACCTTCACTACTTCCTCTTCCCCTCTTCATTTTATATGTAATTGAAGAGAAACAATGAGAATTTTTGAATCGCGACAGTGACCCTGCAATACAACGCCGCAGTATTTGATTTATGGGCAACGAAGTGTGTTCGGAGCCAGGAAAACAGGTGGCGCTATTGCGACGTCTGTATTTAATTATTTGAAGACTACCACCAGTCAAATCGGATAGACATATATATAACTGAATTTCGGCTTTCATACTCAATGCGGTTGCCGAATCAGGTTCGTGGTATTTTGACGAAGAGCCCTCAGTCAAATAAAGCCCATATTCCTCCAGTAAATGTAGTTAATTCGAACGAATTTACTCGCAGCCCGACGAATAAATAAGTTTTACGAGTGACAATATTTGCACTCTGACTGCTCTCCCGGCCATATTGATAACTCAAACCACCAAAACTTAAATTATCGAAGATAATAGTAAATTGTACAGCAGGACTCGTTGGATTAACCAATTATTATTATTATTATTATTATTATTATTATTATTATTATTATTATTATTATTATTATTATCATCATCAGCAGACCCACTATCATAATTTAACACGAAAAACAAGCGGTAAGATGCGAAGAATGTTATAATAAAAGTTTTCTTGCAGGTGAAATAGATTAATCGGAATATCTTTTTTTCTGTTCAAATTGTTTTTCACGAAACCAAGACAGAATTTTCAATAAAACTATCTTATTCATATACCATTTAAATACAAAAATTACAATACCGTACTTATTTAACCAGAATTTTAAATTATTTTAAACCTGTTGATTGATCATTATATAAGCGAGTAGAATCAAGAAAGTGATATCTAAGATGATAAAGATTAATTGCACCTTCATTTATTAACGTGAAAACATACCTTACTCACGCGATTTCTGAAATAAGCGAGACAGGATCCAGAAATCCCAAAATATTTCATTTGATGCCGAGGGAAAGGCGTGGTAATGGAAATGAAGGTTGGTGAATTCTGTTTCTGCGATTCTGTATCACGAAGCATGTTGGTTGTAGTGATTTATGTTTGTCGAATGAGTGCACCTTCGCATCTATAAAAAACAATCTTAGCGCCAACGAAACTCACTCTATTCAAACATTCTGAAAGTAAGATTTTTTGTAAGGACTGTCATCGGTTTGGTGTTTTTTTAGATCAGATGCGTGCGTTCTTGTTGCAGATCAACTTTGTAAGCAAATCATGTTACCGCATTTGATACTGGCACTATAATTTAAAATAAAATCGTTAGATAGTATCCCTTAGTTCGATATTTTGTATCATTTGTTTATTGTATATTAAGTGAAGACATAACAAAAAATTCATGTTATTATTTAGTTTTTGTCGCACTGCTGGCATGGAAACCGTCTTGCAAATTCGAAATTTCTGATAATTGAGATATCAACAGAGATCAATAGAGAAAGATCAAGGCTAAACAAAAGAAATTTGTTCTATGAGAAGTTCAGGAAAAATTGTATTTTATGTCTTGTGAACGTATTCAAAACATTTACTGCGTCCGTGAGTTCAATCGATATTTGTGCCGTATTCATTTTGTCTCTTCAGATGCGTGCGTACCAGAAACGAAATGTTCTAATCACGGCTCACTATCCGCGCTTTCCTCTCGCCCACTTCCAAACTTCCACTTGCAAACAACGAACACACACTGAGGGGTTTGCACGCTACAGTTAAAACTAGGTTTTCATTTAGTCAACGACGCCCACATTTGAGCTCTCCATCCTACGCAGCACAAGAAATTCAAGAATATTCCTTCAATGAGGAACTTCAAGAGTTTACAGTCTTAGTCGTCCATTTCTTTAACACATCAATTTAGAGTATTAATTATCTAACAAAATGTTTACGTCGGAGATTGGGGAAAATATATTACAGTTTTGTGAATTATGCGGAATACATGCAAATCAGAGCGTCAAAATGAACCAACAGCAAAATTAAAATTTATGCTTACACGGGGCTCTTGAAATTATCAATTTCCATTGGCATTAACTTAGAAGTGTCGAGTAAATGTCAATGACATGAAGAAAGAAACGGAGGATGAAATGAGTAAAAATAATAAGTCGGACGTGCAAATGCCACAAGTTTACTATCAGAGTTCATACTTTATGAGGCACTATCAAGCCCTTTAGAATTTTCCACGAATTTGCTTTACTCAAAATAGTTTTGCTTTACATCCTTATGATTTGACAAATTCCTTTGGTAGAGAGTGCACTCTAACCTCTACATATTTGAGAACAAAAGAGGTAGACACTTGTTCCATCACATGTTTGCATCGCCTGCCTGAGGGAACTACCCCTCATACGTTTAAACACACAGTTCTCCATTTCTAACACTTTTCACTTCCTTCCTTCTATTTACATAATCTCGACAAAACGGACCTTTCTTTATTGTCGCTCGAAAAGGGGCCACCATTATGCAGTTTTGTTAATCCTAGGATAGCTCCGAGGGCGGAGATACCCCAGGGGTGGGGGAGAGCCTCGCACGCCACGGCACCAGCGGGCGCGCGTGCACGTTAACGGTCACGCAAAGTTTGCGAAAAAACCGGGCGGGCGGGAAGGTTTGGTGAATCGATTCCCGGGAGGTAAACAACCGGAAAGCAATTTCGGGAAGTGAAGTCGCAAATGGAACGCACCTACACTTCTCCCCCTCCCTCCTCTCCCCCCCCTCCCCGCGCGTGCCGGAACCTCGTCCGACATCGATCAAGCACTTCAAAAGCGGAAGACGAATATCCGAACCTGCCATTTGCAAATAAACATGCGTTGCGATACGAACGCTATCCGATTGGATGTGCCCGCAAAGCGCTGAGCCGCGCCCTTCAGGTTGCGGCGGGCGCTCTAATGCACAGGGCCTCGGGTGGAGCGCGACGCTTCAGAAATCGCGGGGTAGGTAACGCATCGTTCCACGTATCTTCTAAGGTTCAGGTTCAGTCTTTTTTCGTAGTCGCACGAGCGACAAGTAATAACCCTAAAACTTAATAAAGTTCTCTATAACACGGTGCCGCTTTCTCCATAAAGTGGAAGACGTGTGCAAAAATGTTCATATTCAATCTTTAATGTATTACAGAGACGTATAATGGAATCCTTATTCCGATATTCAATTACAGAAGAGGGGGTAGAAATAATATTTCAATACATTTTTGGATTGAAGTTTGGATACTGATGATCTATTCCGTCGTTCTCTCGGTACCCATTCGTATAATGAAATTCAAATTTCTATATCAGAAGCCAGATCTAGTATTTGTTCTCACACAAATCTGAAATCAACTAGAAATGGAATTTCTCTCGATTATCTAGAGTATTACTGAAACATATTTTTGAACTAAACAAACATGTGCAATAGATACTTCATCGCTTTAAAGAAATCAATAACGATCAATCTAACTTCAAATTAAATTGTCCCCTCAGCACATCACACATTTGTTAAGTGTTTGTGACGTAAATAAATAACTCGCATCAGTGGAGCTCTAAAACTACGGCTCCCTTCCATAAATCTACTTACCGCAACAATGTGGCAGATGATCTAGTGTATCCTTCCGAAAACAAGGTATATCAAGTGCTAAGAGGTACCATATTTAAAATTATGATCGAGAGGTCGGCACAGACGAACGTCGAGTGACATTGTCGAAGTCCAGCGCTGGAAATATATCTGCTGAACAAAGTCGAACTTAAAAAAACCGTTTGCACTAAACATGACAAATGGAGTTACCCAATGCAAGTCATATTTTTGCAAACAAAAAGCACGAGGAAAATTTGTAATCAGTCATCTTTAATCAAAATGGCTCTTCAGTGGCAAAATGTGTCGTCGGATGTGCCTTGCTTTACGCGGTTTCCATCTGCAGAATGCAGTCCTAGGAAATCTAAGCTGATGGTGTGCTGCCAAGAGTGAAACCAGGCGGGGCTGGGGACGGTCAGAGTTTCAACAGCGATATCCCAGCATTTCAGGAGAAAGCATTACCCTGAAATCAAACCTTATCAAACTATTATGAATCCATTTTGGCGACCACTTCAAACCTAGGTATAAAACTTTGCCCCTGAAGGATTCAAGTCCTTTGGCCTTAGCTTCCTTACCTCAGAACTGGGTTACTTAGCACGACAATAAGTGTGGCTCACGATACAGCTACCAAACTAATCAGTGCAAGGAAATCTGCATATGACAGAATTTGCCAAAAATGTGTTGGACGAAAGATTCAAAATATTCAAGATTCCCAGGAAGTATTTATTTTCAGTTCTAAAATTTAAAGTAGTTAGGAGAGCGAAGATTTTTTATCGTACTGAAATATCTCCTTTTTTTTAGGTTTTGACGTTTTCAATTCCTCTGCATTGTTCTCTGGCGTAAAATCGCAGAAGGCGGACAGAATGAACAGCATAATAATGTAAATTGTAATATAATAATGTAAAATAATAATGTAAATCGACAGTTCACGGTGACTGATCGAGTTAATTATATCAATTGTGAAGGAATGTAAGTGTAAAACGTAATAATAGAATTATTAGAAACATACCTTTCACAAGGATGTCTATTACGTTATGCTAAGCTAATTTGTATAATCCAAATTATTTTCAGAGGATCTTGTCACTGTCGAAAATACCGTCCTGGCACGTGCAAACTGCCCCTTTCTGACGTTGTCCCTTCCCGTATGTCATTCCGTGTAGAATATTCTCTGCATCTTTTCCGCCAGACTTTTCTATAACCTCTCTTTCATTCTCTCAGCTGTACAGTGTATCACTTTTGGCATTATCAAGTGAAGCAGTCAATGCTGCCTTCATTCTGCTCGAACTTCATCGCTTCTTTCCAAAACCTTTTTCGGCAGCTTCGCCACTGCGCGCCTCCGCTCCACGCTCATTCCCATCTCCGTGTCCACATCGTTCGGAACCACCATCAAATCCTTCCTTCCTACTTTCAACTTCCCGTGCCCCGCCTCGCCCCCATTCTCATCCCACGCCTATTCCCATTCGCGTCCCCTTCTGCCGGCGACGCCTCGCCGCCCCGCCCCGCCCCGCCCGGCCTGGCGACGTGAGCCGACTGCAGGCGCCGCCGCTGCCGCTGCCGGGATTCGCGGCCTGCAAGAATGTTGAACGCCGAGTTATTGCGAGCCTGCAATGAATAGCAAGCGTTCGCGCACTGCAGCCGCATTCCCGCGTTTCTCTTCCGCGTTTTATGGCGCCCAATTATGTGGAGCCTCGGGGCGAGAGAGGGATTGGAGGGGGGGACCGGCAGCGGGGGAGTTGCATCGGGCCTTGTGGTGCTTCGCGCCTCTACCTCCTCGCTAGCTGCAGCGGGGCGGCGGCGGGGCCGTTCTCACGCAACTCGCAGCCAAGCGGACGCCCGCACTCGAGGTCCAATCTGCGGGAAATAACGCGAAACGAATGCACAACTCTGACGGCTACCCAAATGAACGAGGTATTGCTCCAGGAAGAATTTTATTCCCCTCGACAGCGCTAACGTTCAATAAATTCATCCTATTCGTCACGTCGTTATTTTCATCTGTTTTCGTACATTGAAGTTGGCATCCAGGGACACACAACACTGACATTTAAGGCGGCCCAGGGCAGAATGGAAGATGATCGATAACTGGAATGGTTGATCGCGTAACGATACAATTAAACAAATGTAGTAGAAGTCTTTTAAATATAAAACCACTTAAAAAATAATTTCTAACATACATTTATTTTATTGACATTATTTGTTCCTTTAATTGGTTGTAATATTTCAAACTCTGATATACATTATTTCAAGTTTATATTGATATTAAATTTTCACTTATGGAAAAAGAAGTATATTATTGTCTTGGGTATTAATTTGTAAACTAGACCCAAGAATGAATAAATAAATTGCAACGAAAATTGTACGCCGCCGTCGAGAAATCAGAAATTGCGAAGTGAAACAATAGTTTAAAAAATGGCATAGGTCGCGTTGCCCCCCCCCCCCTAACCACCCTTTCCGAAGTCTCCGATTCAATTTCACTCCATTTTTCACAATATATTTTACAAGATAAACACGTATAATTCTGCATACATAATCCAGTACATTGTATTTTGTACATTCAAAAGTGCCCCCTGTTCCAGTATTTTCGTAACGAAACAACAGAGTACGCAAGTTAATTTATCAATATTGTTAATGAGAAATCCAATAATAAAATGAAAACTAGCAAAATATTTTTTTTTCGATAGGATGATGACTAGTTCTTTCGAGACTTCAATTTCGTTATTTAGTAATTTCATTTTGCACGTCATATCTTCTGAATTTCGGCTACTTCACGAATTGTGCCCCCCTATAGAATGTAATATGTAATTCAATAGGAATACTAATGCTAAAAACTTTTTAAGGATATAAAAGAGTAAAAATGATAACTTTGTACACGTAGGCTTCCGCGGCTCGAGTCCATTACTTCTAGGCTGTCCGGGT